CTGGCCGATGAATTTGAAGGGGGGTTTCCCTTTCGTGATCGTCGGCTGTGCACGAGAGTGAGCCGCTGGAGGATGATGTTATTTCATTAACATTGTCTGGTTCAGGGGCCATTGCTCTGCTGGGATCAGCCCAGCAAAAGCAGGAAATAGCTGAGGAGGGCAAAGAAGCTGAGGCTGAGCCTTCCCAATCCTCCTGCCCTGCGTATGATGAGCTTTTGGAAATTATGGATCGCGCCACGGCGAGGCTTTACTTGCCGTGAAGCGGGTGAAGAAGTGACGTCGCGAAATATCTCGATGAACGTTATTTTTCTGGCCATAAACCCTCCAGCTCAGGTGAGCCTTCCTTTCTTCTGTTTTTCATATAAAGATTGAGAAGGAATGGAAAAGGCCGTTTTTTCTTCACGCATCCATCGATTCCAGCATAAAAGTTATGCCAACATCGATGCTATGCGCAAAAGCGGTTATGAGAAGATACCCCTACAGAGAGACGCTGGTCAGCTATCTCTCTATGGGTGAGACGTAATCTAAGACTCCCTTCCTTGACATCTCGCTCGGATGCCAGGGCATACGCAGCAGCAGCAGGTCGGGCTGTCGCTTCATTGCAAACGATGGTGATGCTCCAAGCATATCAGGCTGACCGGCTGAAGGACCGGGATAGAAGTCCAGATCTGAGCCCGAACAACCCAGGGGTTCTAGCCTGTCTCAGTTTGAGGATCAGAGACTGGCTCAGAAGGCTAGTGTCACGGCTCGCGCTCCTCTGCCGCCCACGGGTAGGGGTAGGAAGAATCGCGGGTCAAAGGAAGGTGAGTAAAGAACTAAGGGATGTGATCCAGACAGGGCGTCAGTGCTTTTGTCCGGATCAGAGTGATACCTCAGTATCTACTCATTTCCTTCTGGGGTCTTACATCTGCCTTATCTTAACCTTCCTAAATTCCCCAGTAACCACCATCTCTCCACCTGACCGAGGTTTGGTGGGAAATTTCCTGCATTGTAGTCTCCTATACTGGACCTATTAGGTTTGGTTGGTTCTATGGCTTCATAGTGACCATCTTACTGATGGTCCGGTCTAGAGGCTTCTCCGGACAGAGCTCCGGCACGGGAACTATGGTGGGTGAGTACGATCCATGTCTAATATATGTATATATGAATGAATATATCGTGGTAGTTTGAGCAGTGCTCCCCTTTTTTCAAAGGGTTACCTGGAATGAGCAACATTATCCTATGAATTCGGAGTTCTCCTCTCACATGAGAAGTTGAGTTCTCTGTTTTTCCAGAGCACCTGGAACCAGCAGCATCAGGTGGATTAGGCCCTTCCTCTGCCTCCCTGATGCGCTGAGTGTATGGCTAGCTTGCAGTATGCTTACCCTTCTGATTTTTGAGAGCTGGATGTTGCTCCTCTCTGCTACAGATTTACTGCTAGCCAGACCAAGACTAGTATGATTCTAGGCTCTTGGTCGTATTCCCTTAAAGGAATCTATATCTGATTTCAAGCCTTGAGCTCTACCCCGGGCCCCAGAGTCTGGCCCTAACAGGTAAGTATTTTGGGGTATGTAGCCTAGGCCTTTGGCCGTAGGGAATAACGTCACTGACAGCCGTCTAACGTCCCAGGGGCAACTCCCATAGCAATATGGTAGAGTTGGTACTTAGTGCTCGCCATGGTTCTGACTTGCCCTCCCCTCAGCATGGTGGCGTGGGTATACCGTTCCCCATAGCGACCCCTAGAGGACGCAGTTCGAAGTTCCCATGAAAGGGAACATCTCAGGTTACTTATGTAACCATGGTTCCCTGAGTAGGGAACGAGACACTGCGTCCTCTAGGTTTCTTGCCATGCTGCGGACGCAAGCTTCAGACGAAGAAGTGAATGATGTGTAGCTCCCGGCGCCTATTTATACTATAGTAGCACTGGTAGTGACATCATGGCTGTCGCTGGCCAAGGAGTTGGTGTTTTTTCAATGTATGCTTCAGACATGGGTCACAACGAGGCGCTCCCCATAGCGACTTCTAGAGGACGCAGTGTCTCGTTCCCTACTCAAGGAACCATGGTTACATAAGTAACCTGAGACTTTTATTTTCCTAATTTCGTTTTTTTTTTCTTTTTGCTCCATCCTTCCTTTTTTCAGGGTGACGGGCATCTAAATACATGCATAATGAATGCATCTCTCATTAGAATGATTGTCAAAGGAAAAACATTGCTTGGCTCACGGCAGGGTTTTCTGGGATTCTAAAATTACGTTTTCTCCTCATTCCCTCCCTCCTTTATTTATCAAAGGCTTTCCACAATCAGCCCTCATCGCGACTGGGACGGCTGTGGGAAACAGATGTTTACTGATTAAGCAGGCGTACCGTGCCAAAGCGGCTGTATTACAGCCCATTCAAAGTGCAGAAAGGACAGGAAAAAAAGTTTGGAGAAAAAAAAGAAAGGCTGACAAAACGCAGGCGCCCACGGGCAGCCCCCTCTTTTGCTGCTGCTTTAACCATAATACGGTTTGATTGTTGAAATTGTTCTTCGGTGGAGAATTTTCTAATTTTTTTCACTTATTTTTGATACGCTTTTAATGTGTTGGTTATCCCTGCCAAGCTGCTTTTACTCACAATCAGCGTTTACACAAACACTCACTTCAAGCTCAGGCTGAAAGAGACGAGGAGATGAATGTTGCGTGAAAAGGAGAAGAGAAACTCAAAATGATCTGAATGCTACTGGCAAGGCCAACAAACCTGTTTATACCACCACATTCGAGAGCTTCGTTTCAACTGCGGCCAGAATGTAATAGAAATATGTGACCAGCATTGGAGCCAACTGTCTGCACTCACCCTCGGCTGCCACTTTATGTGGATATAAACACGGGATGTGTTTCTCTCCATGTGAGAATACCTCATCAGACGGCCCATCCAAGTACCTTTCCAGCAATCCGTTTCGGAGAATTAGCGGAATTAGCCACATAAATCACTTTAGACATTAATTAATAATGCACTTGGCAATCATTTATTTCTCTCATAGCTCTATTTTACAATTTACAAACTAGATAAAAAAGACCATAAATAAATGACATGTTTCATGTACCTAATTTCATAAAATAAAAAATGGAAGAGAAGGAAAACGATGACACAATTATGCACAACATTAAACTTAAAATGTCTAGATTTGTTGGGAAAAATGCGATTTGTTAGTGTTCCTCCAGAATAAACTACATTAGGAGACTTGGCATGGTACATTCTATTGAATTTCTCTCCTCTCACATTCATTGCATATTCCAAACAGGTCCTAAACAGGTGAGGAGGGAATATCGAAAGATGAAACGGGAAGAAAGTCTCTTAGATTGGACGGATGGATGTGGTTGACGTGAAACAGAGCACACTTGAAATGTTAAACGTTTTTTTCCCCCCTTTTTATAAACATTCCTGTAATAAGTTTATTTTAGGTACAAATAACGTGCTTTTTCTTGCAGTCCACATTCAGACTATTCAAATTAGCATTGAAATCTTTCAGTTGAGTCAAACGACCCAAATAAATGTGGTGTGTTTTAGTTACAACCTCCAGCATTGGTGAGAAGCGAAGCACAGCAGTGGCTTAGCGAATATAGCAAAAAACTCCAGTATGTCGGTCTCCAGAGAGTAGCCACAAAGTTCTGCAGTCTTAGCACACATCATGTGCTTTTGTCCTTTGTGTATGCGCCTCAAAACAAACCGTCATCCTTCAAAGAAAACAGCAACACGCTGCACTGAGAATGGAGAGTTTTTCCTGTCAAGAGTGAGACCAAATGAAAATGTTCATTATATCGCTCATCTAATCTCTTAGGAGACAACCGAAGGGCCTTCAACCGCTCCTTGGGTTGTTTGTCATGTTTTCAGTCTGCCGGTTGTTGAAGCATTCAGCATTTGCTGGGAATCATGGGAATTGAAGTCCTTTGTCCCGGTGTCAAGTAAAAGTAGTTATTGAAACTGCAATGGATGCGAGTCTGCGCAGCAGATATCGCTGCGGAGCAGATGTGTGAAGGTGACTCTGTGGAGGGAGAGAGAGAGAAAAAGAAAATTATTATAATTCAGGGATTCAAAGCGCGTTCTGTAAACAGACCAGAACACACAAACACAGCATTAATTGAAGTAATCCACAGAGTATGGAAACTGAAATTGCTCTGTTTGCTCTGTTGCTGGGGAGCATGGGAAAAACACATTTCCCATTTTTGGCTCAGTTTTCATTTTGAGCTCATCCCATCAAACGGCACCAATATATATCCCTTGTATTCATCTGTACCGGTTCTAATCCCAACTAATGAGTGGATAAATAACTGCAAGGGACGGAGAGGAAGTAGAGCAGATCCCATAAACATTGGGTCGGACTTGTTATTTTGTGCTTACCTTAGCTCAGCCCTGTTGGAACTTCCAGCAAGGGAGACATGTGTTGATTTCACGGCCCGCCGAAGGTCTCCGGAGACAGAGAGGCGAGGAGAGAGAGGGCACGGATGGAGCGGGGGAAAACCGTGGAGAGCGAGGTGGAGAGAGAAAGATGTAAACTCAGGGCCGATTTTTCTGTTCCAACACAGGCCAAGTGAAGTGGTGTGGAGATTTGTAGAGTGGAGACAGATATTCCATTCTGAGGGTGGGGAGACCAGGAGACCTTCCAGAGCTGGTCTTCCATTGTGGATGTTGGGAAGATGAATGCCTCTCCGTAATTTCCGGAACAAAAGCGTTAAAGAGTGCATAAAATCTTTATCTCCGACGCCTCCATTTAGAGCGTAAAAATTCCACCAAGTGCCGCTCACTCAAGTAACCGTGAAATGGCAGGAGCAGACGGAAAAAAAATCCAGTACTATTTATACATTTACTTACAGGCACATACACACAAAAATCAAATAAACGCACAAAGAAACTCCTTCATTGTTTAATTGAAATGAAAAGCTTCCTACAATCATATCCAGGGCATCAGTACAGCGAGGTACGATCCTCTTGACTGGATGGCGGGGATGGTGTTATTGAAAGAAAAGTGCTGTATCATTCCTCTGAAATCTGTTAATTTAAAGTGCATGGATGAGGTATGGATTTTCTTAGAACCAAAATAAAAAAGGAAGTCCAAAGTATGTTTCGAGTTTGTGTGTTCTGATCCCATGGGTTCAGACAGGAACCATCCTGTCTTGCATTTGTTGCATCTGGGACAGCATTCCCTGCGCACTGTTGAGGATCTTATCCTGATGTGTGGCAGAGGAGATCCCTATCCTCGCCATGTCTCTGTTCCAACGAAACACAAAGACAGAAGTGATGAGAACTTGTTTGATTTGGTCTAATTTGGTTTCTTTTTTTATCCCTCTCTCCTCATTTGCTTTTAACATGAAATCTAAGAACTCGATCCTGGCTGAACATTTGAATGCCAAAGTAGAAGTTCTCAATGCTTCGTTGGCATCTACACAGGGGTTTTGCACGGAAATGTGACTACTGAACCCATACGTCAGGACGTGTATCCCAGAGCGCTGATTTAAGAACTGGGTTTCTTTCTCCTGTGTTAGTCAAAAGCCCTCTCAAAGCCAACATACACACATCACACGTCTCCTAACACCTTAAGAATGCCCAGTTTTTGTTCACGTGACTCACTCTTGTGTCATGTGGACCACAGCCTCTGGAGTGGTGTAGCCAGCAGCGGTGAAGTTGTCTCTGTAACGTTCCATGTTGATGGCCTGCAGCCAGTCGGCAACTGATCCCAAGGTAGATGTGAATTCTGGGCTGCTGGGCTCCAGGAGAGTGGTGTTGGGTCTACAAACAAAGAAAAGACTTGGTTAGGAGCCCCAAGAGCTTGGGCTGGCTCTGTGTTGCCCACTTTGAACAACGTATAAAAGAACTATAAAAGATTTTATAGCCGTGAGCATCACTTCATTGGAACACGTTTATATAACACTGCAAGTCATGCATGTAACATGCACTTATGTGCCACAGCTAAAAAAGCATTTTCACCAATTTATCACTGGTAAAAAATTAGACTGGAACCAAGAACATGACTTATACAAGAATATACATGCCCATTCAGACTGAGCTAAGATTTTAAGCCAAGTGGATTTTAAAATGAGCAAATGTTAAGCTAAG